GTGTTTTGTAATAAAAAGCCTATGTCTAGAATTCTAGATACTTACTTAAATTATTTGCGGAAACTTGTACAATTATAGTATTTGCCTTGAAATCTTTAATGAAGTGCCTTGTGCTGGACAGAGGTTGGATAAGTATACCATTGTACCAGTGCTAAATGGTGATTTATTGCACTGTCAACATGGGTAGGAACAAGCTTTTGAAATAAAAATTCTTCAATAATTTACCAGACCCGACATCCATTGCAGGTTGTAGGAAACGCACGTAGTTTCACAGCTTAACAGAGGCAGTTAAGTCAAGAAAGATTCAATGCGTAACATAGTGACGTAGCTCTATCTTAGAAGTAATTCCTATGTTAACTTCAATAGGACTCATAATCCCCTGCACTTAACAGTTGGAATTCCCGCAAAATTAGTCTTTATTATTACTCTACACAATGATTAATTCTCCGTTGAAACTAATAAATATCTGCATACGATTATAGGAAATGGGCTCGTACATCACGCTGGCTACCACGAGACCACATCTTTGAATAATGACGCAACTGTGTGAGTCTCGGTCACGTCCATACTCCATTGATGTGTGATGGATGATGTTATAGAACAATGATCAACATTGTCTGATGAAGAGTACGTGGCTAAGTTACAATTGCCTGGCTAGACAAACGTCATAAAAGCTAGATAGACGATATTAGAAAAAAAAGAGTAAACTGATTGGCGATTTGACAACGGGGAAAACTATCAAAATACTACTTCCTAGCTTTTGGGGAGAACGTCAAGGAGAATGGGATTTTTACCTCGCTAAACCACCCAAATGGCCACCATAATCAACTATAAAGGACAAGACAAGGGGGTATCTCTATCACTGTGAGGACCGCCCAGAATACACGGTAGAGCATACGGTGGCGGTGCGCCCTGCGTGGGCTGAGCACCGTCGTGTTCTCAGGCATGAGATCGGCGACGGCGATCTCTCGCGTCCGGGTCTAGTTCAGACTATGGTACGGTGCGAGAAACCAGAGAAACTATCACAGATGGGGTCCAATAGGGCTGATGCTGATATGGAGCCGCGGAGGGCTTAACGGGTTGCCGTTGCCGGGGCTCCGGCTAGAAGTGCAGGAGTAGGAACGTGGTGTTTTATAGTCAGTAAGAGTCTGACACTCCGTCTCGCCCCACCCAGGCGGGAGAACTCATTGGATAATTTTCCCCCCTCAAAAAAAGGGCTAAGGCTAACTACTAAGGCACACATACTACCTATTTCCCTGTGGCTGTTCTTCTATAACTAAATGGAGAGACCTACTCTGGAGCTATCACAGTGCAACGCCTCCTTACGGCACATGCACGTCCCTAAGGAGGTTCTCGATCCTTTGAAAAACAATAATACGAGTAACATCGATATAAAAATAAATGAAACTAACATGAAAAACTGTCATGGTGATAGCAGCCATGCATAATGATGTTGAAAGTGACGCTGCTACAAAAAACAAGTAGGTAGTATTTAATATTTTTATATGATCGGCACCTGCCTTTGTTCTAATATGACCGCACGACGCTTGAAATTGATGTTATTAGTCTCAGTACACATAGGAATTATCGGAATTAGGTACTCCGTTGTCATAGGTACCTGTGTTACGTTGATAAATAGACCCGTTCACAGAATACTAACCCGGTTTCAGATTTTTATGAACGTGGAAACATTATTAAAAATAATATTATTTTATTGTTTAGATACTCTAGAAATCGAGATGATTGCACAAACCACCCTCTTTTACCACCATAGACGTAACAATTTCAATTGAATTTATATAAGTAAGTAACAACCACAAATACATTTTCAAGTAACTAAGGACTAGGGGCTTATAAAACAACAAAATAAAATAATTTCTCAACGAAACAAGGTAAATCTTTTCATGTAAAGGAGGCGTCGCCTTTTGTACAAGTAACTTATTCTTGTAACTTGTTATTCAACTAGTCCAAATATAAAGTCTGTACAAATTCCGAGTTACTTGGAATGAAACCTCACAACACGAGGCTGGTTTATTTCCGTTGGCGTGTTCAATATAAGGGATTAGTGCGTTCAAACGTGCACGGGTTAGGAATTCGTTACGTGCAAAACGTGCGGTTGTACGACGACGCTGCGGCCGGCGGCGCACGGGTTGGGGAGTGCACGATCATCATTGTTCACTCGTTATGAATGGCTCTGGTTACATGAAATACATAGGGTTGCACGTTTCGAGACAGACGTGACATAGATTGCCTAATGGTTGATGTGAATGCAGTGGTTGACGCTGCTCCGCCGGTTTATTTAGGAACGCATTAAGTACCTATTAGTACCGCCTGGGTTACAAGGTATTACAAACCATCCCCTATTTTATTTTCCTTTATGACAGACATCATTTACCTCTTTGTAGGTAAAACAGGTACTGGACCAATGTTCTTCAAGTAAACGTTATGTAAGGCTCACTGGCACTTGCCCACGCTTATCGCAATAAAAAACTATACTTACCTACTAATAATAAAAAATTGGACATAGTGGGTAAACTCTGGCACTTTAACCAATAAAAATAATAATGTAAACTTTAACCAATAAAAATAATAAAGTAAGTAAAATGTAAAATTAATAATGGTATTATTAATTATAAATAAAAAAAAGAACTGCCTATGACTGCAGACATACAGTTGAAGGCCTATCGAGCATCGTGTCTGACGTAGTCGATAAAATAGCTTTACTAGGGAACTGATGGACAGACAGAAAAACACTTTTATTTTTAAACAATATTGCCAGGTCTAATTGACTTGAGTTTCACTCTCGACTTTGTTTGGAAAGGCGTAGCTTGCAACCAAGTTCATACGTGCTCTTAAGTGGAGGCAGCTGACTGCTGCACAACACTGACAACGCACAATGTGTCGCAGGTTCAATACCCGCGCGGAACAACTTCTTGCATGACTCAAAAATTATTGTTTCGGGTGTGATTTGTAGTCCTTTCTTACCTATATGAAACTGTTTTTTTTTATATGAGCAATTAAACGAGCAGACGGATCACCTGATGGTAAACAGTCGGCGCCGCCCAAAGACACCTGAAACACCAAGGCGTTACCGGCCTTTTGGGAATTGGGAATTTGAGGATTGTGGAGGGTTCGAGGATTGGGGAGACTGGAGACGGGGGTTATTGGGCCTCTGGTACTCATCTCACTCACATGACACGACAAAACACATCGCAAGCGTTGTTTCACGTCGGTTTTCTGTGAGGCCGTAGTATCACTCCGGTCGAGCCGGCCCGTTCGTGCCAAAGCATGGCTCTCCCACACTAAGAACTGGAAGGAACTGTCCTTTGTGCGTTAGACACAGAAAAAAATCCTTTACAACTTTGTACACACGGCTACACATCGAGCTTTACATAACCAGTATAAATTGAACGTTAAATGTGCGGAAATATGATGCGACGCGACAACAGGATAAACTGGATTTGTATAGATTGATGTGTGGCCATGTGTACGTGCTAAAGTAAGTAATGCTTTCCTATACTTTTGTAAACAGATCAATGGTTATACTATGTAATATGGCCTATACTTTTGTATAAAGGTACCTTGGTAGCAAACCCATCGTTGATAGTCGCTGGACAAATATGTAGTTCAGTTGAACATATCGAACCAAACTAGCAGTTCTTCATATTTACTGATATTTACATAACTCGACATTGAGAAAAGCAGTTTGGTTACCTCGTCACCTGACTTTATAATACTTGATTTTGATTGTGTTCCGGTTTTGAGGAATATATTGCTGAATATTCAAAACTGCTTCCTTGATCGCATGGTCGCAAATGTGAATGCTAAGCAAGGGGTATCCTACAGATCAAAATATTATTTAGCTTTTTATAGTTCTACTAGCGGACCCAACAGACGTTGTCCTGCATATCCACTTGAATGTATAAACAAAAATTCATTCAAATTAGTTCAGCTGTTTAGGATAAATAACCTAAACATCGACTGCAGCGCCATTTGCCAGGCTGATTTGTGAATCTAAACCATTCCCAGATCCCCTTGAACACACAAATTTTTTTATCAAAATCGGTCCAGTCGTTTGAGAGAAGTTCAGTGACATACACACTCACAGAATAATTATATATATATATAAAGATAGCACTTGTGCCCGGTGTATGGTCATCCTCTGCTAAAGGAGCCGCATGAACCTAACTGGTCAAAGTGGTGCTACACTGAAAATGTGTAGGTAATCTAGCTTTAACTACTCCTTCCTGACCTGTTTCTCGTATAAGGCCTAAAGCGCCAGTTACTGACTATCAATCATGATTGTCAATGACACAGAGAGCCAAGACTAATATTAAATTAAAACCAATAAAATATCTCAATACTTCTATGGTTCAAGAACGGCTAAGTCACTTGTTTGTTAGTTGGTGTAGCCGTGTAGATAGTGTGTACATAGTATAGGTAACGTTGTTATACCTACCTATACATAGCTACATTCATTCATACGCTACGGTGTGTCATTCAATTACGCATTTAGATCTGTGGGTAAGTAGGTATTTCATTCTAAATTATTCTTAACCATTATTTAGTAAAATAAAATAATTAAAGTTTAAATTGTATTTATTAAATAGAAGTTATTCAAATTATTTATTAATTTGTAAGTGCTAAGCCTGGTAACACATAGAGATTTTTTCAAATGGCAACACTATATTTGACAGTAAATTGATACGTTTAGTTATTAAATTTTAACTTCCAAATAAAAATAACAGCAAAATTGAAGAAAATTATAAATAAACTTACATAATGACAATAAATACTGCATTGATTTCTGTTTTCTAAAACATCTTTGTACATAAGTATAAAGGCGTTAACTGACTTTGTGAATACTTCGACCACGTCATCACAAAGCGTAAACTAAACGCGGATTGATATCTGTCAATCAAATTGTACAGCAGATTTTCGGAAGAGGCGTTCATTAATTTACGTTTTTTGCCTAAAGCACAGTGGTTTTATCGTTAAAAATGCTTGCTATAATCAATCGTATCCTTGATTGGATTAAAAGCTTGTTCTGGAAAGAAGAGATGGAGCTAACACTGGTTGGATTGCAGTACTCGGGGAAAACAACTTTTGTTAACGTCATTGCCGTTAGTATTATCTGAAAACAATATTTTTATGTTATTTTAACTTCCTCATAGTCTTTACACAATTCTAATGCGATTTCGTATAATTATTGGATCAATTTAATAGTCTACCAACATTGTTGAACCTTTGGAAATGTTTTATAAATGATTATTTTTATTATTTTCCAATGATTATGTATCGTCTGTTAGAATTGTGTGATCTCATTGTTCATTTTGTTGTGTTTTTTGTGTCATTGAATACAAAGGAACATTGAAAAGAATGTTACACAGGAACTACAAAAATTGAGCATGCAATCTGTGCCTCTTTGCTCTGTGCACATATAAAATTAAATACATTTTAAATTACCATAAAGAAACTATTTGGCCATAGTGTACTATCCAATCAAAATTCTATTGCAGTAGATCTAAGCATGAGATATTCCAATTAACTAAAATAACTACCACCATACAATTACACAGCTATTTAATTTACTTTTAACAGCTTTCTAAATAAAAATGAGTGAAATCCTTTCAATAATTTATCACATAAAGATTCTAACAACCAAACTGGAACTAAATCAATAATTACTGTACTTACTTAACTTATCATATAATAAACATGTTGAACACAAATATGTACAGTATATATCTATGTACCTATATGGTTTTAATATATACATGAAGGGTCACATTTCAATTGACAATAATAAATTATCTCATGTCCGATTCCAATGTCAATATAATAATTCCATCCACTGTGGTTCATTTACCCTTTATCTTATCATAGAGATTCTAAGCATTCTTTATTTCAATAATTACCCATATTATGAATACTGAGAAAAGCAATGTCTTCATATTATTGTCTATTATTGTACAGTTTTGGTACATCTATCACATTTTATCATCATAATTAATCATTTATTTACTCATTCAAGTATAATTAGGTATTTAGTAATGTCTATAATTATAATATATTATTTCATTGCTTTGTCTAATTACACTGTCCATCTGTTCATTCTAATATATTGATAGAATCTTTTGTACAGTAAAAATGAGACTATGTTCGTGAATTTGTAAGTCAAGTGTAAAATATGTATTGTATTTATTTGTAGTAACAATCAATAATCCTTGACTTTAATCTCAATATGATTCATGCAATACCTACATTTTAGATTCATTGTTGACTGTGTAAACATACACAATATTCCTTACACAATAGTAAGTTTATAATTGAAATTATGACTTCAATTTTGCAGCCCACTAGATGTTTTTTAATTTAATTTTGCCTATAGTTTTTTGATTATATAATATTCTATTCTATTGTAGGTATGATTTGATCTAGTCAATTGCCTCTAGTTGTACAGACCTAGACTCACACAGTAGTAACAGTGGTAACAGACCACACTAGGATTTTTCTAGTGTCTTCAGGGCATTTAAAACACATGGTTCCAGATACATATTATACCCAAACCATGTGCAGTATGTAACCATAGTATGGTGTGCAGTAGCTGCTTGACCAGCTACGGTGTTGACTATACAATCGTGAAGTTTGTTCTTGACTGCAAAAAAAATTAAATGAGATTTCATTTCGTTAGTAATAATACAAAGAGACTTAGATGTTCACAGTTACACTATAGTTACATAGGGGCATTACAGTTAGATATATAAATCTTACAGTTTTAATTGAAATTCATACCTACATATGTAAGTTGAGGGAACTCCTCAGCGGTTACCTGTGTTTAGGTTTGATAATTTGTATTGATGAGGACTTTACACCTAGATTTGGTTTGTGGCACTGGCTTCTAACCTATTAGTGAGTGTGTAAGCTATAAGTACTTATGACCAATAATAGTTATTTTTTTCCTTTTTAGTTTTTACTTTTAGTTTGTCTTTAGTTTTTGATGTCGGTTTTTTTAAACACAGTTTTTTAATTTTATAGCAATTTTTAATTAATTAATTCGATCAAACATGAAAATAATATGTTATCAGAAGGCTTGATAACACTCCCATGAATCAGAATGTTAATTTGTTGTAATGGGAGATGTTGCTAATCTGCCTAATGTTGAAATATACTGTTACATTAGCATTTACGCACAATGTAAACTTTGCAGGCAAATATTATTATATATTATATTGCAAAGGATTTGTAACTCAAAATTATACAATTTTCATGTTTAGCTTTGTGATTAATACTAAACTTATTATCTTTAATTCAATGAATCATATAACAATAATAGTTATTGTAATTTGTATTTAGGTAAATGTACCTCTATATAATTACAATGACATATAAATGATTATCCTTGTTCTTTTCCCACAATTGTGAATGTTCACCATTTTTTATTAAAGGTTTATTTTTTTTTATTACATTAACAAAGTTACAAGTTAATAGGCCCACATAACTTTTATTACATAACTCACGTCTAAGCTATATTAGGTCCTTATATTTAAGAGTTTCTTTTATGAGATAATCCGGCAAATAAGCAGACGGATCACCCGATGATGGTAAGCAATCGTCGCCTCCTATGGACACCCGAACACCGGGCGTTACACGTGCGTTTTGGGGAATAGGAATTTGAGGATTGTTGGGGATACAGGGGATTGGCAAGGTTGGGCCTCCAGTAACCTCTCTCACACGACGAAATACAACGCACGCGTTGTTTCGCGTCGGTCTTCTGTGAGGCCGTGGTATCACTCTGGTCACAATGGGCCGCCATTCGTGCCGATGCATGGCCACACTTATTTATGTATAAGTATTTTATTATGTAGAGAAGTTAATTGTCACTAACAGAATTAGAAATGCTTTTTTTCTTTCCACAGTCCGGGCAGTTTAGTGAAGACATGATCCCAACAGTAGGATTCAACATGCGCAAAATCACCAAAGGAAATGTAACTATCAAGGTAAATAAATATTTGTATTTTTATCAGATGATATAAATAACATATCTCATTTATTTATTGTTTGAATATTAAAATTTGATAATAATTATTATTGTTTCTTAATTTGAGATTGTTTCTGGGTTCTCCTAAATCGCTGTGCAAATTTTGATTCACTGTGATAAAGCAGTAGCTAGTAGATAGGAGTCTAGAAACACAACAACCTGAGAAATAGGACTTAATGGAAGGATGGTTTTGATTTGTATTACATATTTTTATTTTAGTAACTTGTATGCATTAGATGTATCAAAATTTGCATTACACCTTTGCTGATTACTAAAGATAACTGAAAGTCACCTTCATTTGCTCATAAATCTCATTTCATTCTTAGAGATAAATAGCATGCAGGTTTCATAGTGGTTTGTGTTGTCAACACAAAATGGAGTTTTTTATTCTGTGTAAAATTGTTTAAAAGAAAATAGTAGTAAATCAAAGTAGTAGTTGTCTTTCTCTACGAGACATAAGTTTTCTTATAGGAGGAAGAAAAGGGTAGATACCCATTAGTCCCCAAGAAGGATCATCTGATGGTAAGCGATCAGCACCGCCCATAAATACCCCGCAATAGCAGCATCGGATTCTAACAGCAAACCGATGAGTTTGATCTTCAACTCCTCGTCTCCAACCACTGCTATTCACTTTGGGAATGTCGCGGAGAACCTAACGGGTAACCGGGGCTCCGGCTCGACGTGCAGGAGAAGGAACGGGGTGGTTTTTAGTCAGTAAGAGTCTGACACTGCCTTCCGCCTCACCTGGCGGGAGCAGTCATTCGATGATTTTCCCCACTTAAAAAAAAAAAATCACTTTGGGAATATAATATTAATTGTTTTCGATGCTTGTTTCTAGGTTTGGGATATCGGTGGCCAGCCCAGGTTCCGCTCCATGTGGGAGAGGTATTGCCGAGGAGTTAATGCTATTGTGTAAGTAATCATTATAAATTATAGAATATTCTTAATTGGGATGATGACAGCGTGTGAAAATTAAAAATATAATTAGTCCGTAAGTTAGGCAATGAAAAAATATTAGACACCTATTTTTTTATTTTGTCATATAATACAACAAAACTTAGAAAAACTAATCAAAGTTTAGGAGTGGGGTTAAAACGTCATTTCTACGTACAAAATGTACATAGAAGTGACGTCATGCAACATTTCAAATCTATATATCGTCGAAAGTATTTAAAATAATCTACCAGACGGACATTAAAATAAAAATTAGGCATCTATCCTATTATTTAGGTTTTAAAGGCTAGATGTAGAAGCACTATGCGTGGTGGGGTTCTCCTTTTAATGATCAGGACCCTCAATAAAGAGGAACACAGTTCAAGGAGGCGTTTGAATTCATAATGTAACTAGCTTCTGCCCGCGACTTCGTACGCGCAATCCCGTTTTCTCCCGTTCCCGTAGGATTATCAGGATTTTTTTAAGTCATCAACCTTTTCCTAATAATAACAAATACAACAAAAAAGAATTAGTGAAATCGGTCCAGCCATTCACGCGTGACCAAGGGAAAAAGAGATTCATTTTTATATATGCATATAGATAGTTTCTGTCAACGGTTTCACTCGCGATCCCATGGGATAAAAAGTAACCTATGTATGCCTTATATTCCAAGACATCTACACCTTTAAATTATGATAACAGCTGTATTAATAATACAGCTAACATATTACAGATCACAGGTAGGTCCATAATAATAAAAAAAACATAATAATAATAATGAATAAATGAATTTGATCTGTTACAAAATTGTATCCAGATTTCGACGGTTTTGACGTAATTACGTAATAAATATACACTAACTGTCACATTTATAATATTAGTAAGATTGTTGAATCTACAACGTTAACTCTCGTGTCGCAGCTACATGGTGGACGCGGCGGACCCGGACAAGATCGAGGCGTCTCGCAACGAGCTCCACAGCTTGCTGGAGAAGCAACAACTCACCGGCATACCAGTGCTCGTACTCGGGAACAAACGGGACCTGCCGCATGCACTCGACGAGCACGGACTCATCGAGCGGATGTAAGTACCTTTATTTTACGATCTCCGGCCACCGTAAGCGCGGGCCTGCGGACGGCGAGCATGGGTGGCTCCCCGTCCGACCAGAAACAGACCCGAGCGTACGGCGCCGAGCGTTCCGCGCGCGCCTCAAAGAGCCATTAGACCACCACAGATGGGGCCCAATAGGGCCAATGCCGATTCGGAGTCGCGGAGAACCTAACGGGTAACCGGGGCTCCGGCTCGACGTGCAGGAGAAGGAACGGGGTGGTTCTTAGTCAGTAAGAGTCTGACACTCCCTCCCGCCTCACCCAGGCGGGAGCAGTCATTCGATGACTTTCCCCCCTTAAAAAAAAGTACCTTTATTTTAAGGAAGGAGTCATCGTCGAATGACTCCTTCGATCCACCGTGACTTCTAGATTCACTCGCTATTAGACTAACCAGTCTGATTCATAATTGCGTTCGTGTAAGCAACGACAGCTAAATATTACGTTTATGAATCGCAAGAAGAAACATTATTGCACAATATTCAAACTCGCTTAAACGTTTGTTCTATCATTGCATAAGCTGCAATATTAATCCTAAACAGTCAATAATATTGCGCAACACGACAGTTACAAAAACTAAGCAATCTAAAAGACATTAAAAAATAATAACAAATTATTATATGTTTTTCTCCCAGGAATCTTTCAGCTATCCAGGACCGTGAGATCTGCTGCTACTCAATCTCGTGCAAAGAGAAGGACAACATCGACATCACACTACAGTGGCTCATCGCGCACAGTAAGTCCGGCAGCGCGCGTTAATCGCACACCAATATCGACTCTATGTGCAACACATCTTTAGCACTTAAGGCGCAGTTTTGCCTGAACTTTCTTCGTATTTAAAGTTCTTCGTTTGATTACATCTCTATGCGACGAACGAACACGAAATATATTCACAATATTGGTGACTTACACTGCACAAAAGACACGAGTCTTCTTGCTTCGTGAAAAGTCAAAAGACTGGCCTCGCGAAAAGACTAAATAATGCCTAAATAAATTGGACTTTGACATTTCCTAACTGGTCGATTTGATCACGAAAGTGAACTTTATGTGGTCACTTTCTTTGATTAGTCGGTTACTCTATGTATATTTGGCTACGAGACTGAAAAGGGACATTTGAAGAGACTGCCAAGTATACTACTTCACATGACTGTTTCCTAACTCTCGGTTCATTTAAGAAAGATTCGTGGGAAATGAACTGCGCCTTATAGAGACTGTGCTTCTAAGAGATGACCTTGTTGCATTGTATTGTAAGTTGCGATTACAACGGCGTTCAATACTTTATCACAGCGTATTATTTTCAAGAAGTAAATTATATTAAGAGTAGGATACCAAAAAAACGTGTTTTTTTTTCTTACGTGTTCAGATGTTTTGTATTGTTGACAATCAACATCTTCGCCTCGTTTCGAAACCAGACATTATAATTTTGAAGGAATAATATTTTAGGAATATTTTTTGGTCTTGCCTCGTATTTGAATGCGTTGTGTATAAAGTATTGTTCAAGCCAGTCGTGTCGTGATAAATAAATTTAGCTTGAGTAATGCACTCTCTAAAACAAATGTTGAATGTGGTGAATTATCTTGTCACAACACAACCGTTGGCTTCAATTTGTTTTCATTGTTTGAAAATGGTGCCAAGCTGTAATTTCATTTGTTAATATCATATAATTAATTATTATTTACATGGAATATTTATTGAAATGCAATAATTATGTGAAAAGATAATGTTGTCACATTACAAATGTACGTTCACATCTAAAGTATAGTTTCTTTTAGATAAATTTATTGAAAGACGTTTTTACTCTTCCTGTGGTCGTTTCATATATAAATCTTGAATAGTTAGAATATATATCACATTAAAACTAAAAATTAAACCTGAACATATCAATTGTATCGCGTTTAATTTACAGTTAAGTATAACATTTGGTCTAAGAGTTGCTATATTTTAGATGCAGTACTATCATAGTCTATCATGTTAGACTATTTAGATTCCTTAATAATATTAGCGTTATATATTATAAATATACTTATCTCATATTGTTAGCTAAAAAAATAAGTTTAAAGGTATCTAATGTGCGAATAATTTTGTTGTTCCCTCGTTAGGCGCAACCTGTATATAATATGAACAATCTACGTTAATTATGTATAAATTGAAGTACTGTTTTGAGGTATGGACACAATATTTTACGAGAATTGTCTATGTCAGGACCAAGAAATCGTACGAAGTGAAAAGACACCTATTTAGGATAATGTGCTTAACGATTTACAGACATAGAACTATAGGCGCATTGACCTAGAAAAGTAGATCGCATAGGCTTGTAATAAAGATTATTTTCCATTGTAAAATAGTGTCTTCATGACTCAAAAAACCAATGATCTTTATTTATTTTTATCATCCAACAAAATTATTCATACACTAGCAATGTTTTGTCGAATATAGAAAGTCACTAGATGTGTAATTAATTGAAATTGAAAACCCGCTTCGACTGCACATTATGTTTATATAAATAAACGTTTATATATAGTTGTATCTTGTAATATATTACATAGATTTGACAAGAGATGTTGGAGTTCTTATTGCATGGCGCTGGTGTCGAGAAATGTTGATTATAAAATTATATTGAAAACATTGTACACATGGCTACACATCGAGCTTTACATAACCAGTATAAACTGAACGTTAAATGTGCGGAAAGATGATGCGACGCGACACCCGGATAAACTGGTTTTGTATAGATGATGAGTGGCCGTGTGTACAAGCAATTTGCGACACTAGCGCCATTGATGAGCGTCATGCAACTAAATCAAGATGTAACCTCTTTGCTGGGAGAATGTCAGAGTATTGAGTTAACAGCGTTTAGTATTATTTAATTACGAACATTATATTTGGAAGATTATCTCAAATAGTTTCACTGAACAATTGTATTTTTAGTTGTCGAATTTAAATTATTATGATTTCCCTTCAAATAATTATGTAAGTTTACAAATAATCAACGAAATTGATTACCTTTGTACGGACTAGGTTAGTCGAGAATTATAACCATATTGAAATTAAATAAATGTTATATAATCGTTATATTATCAGAGTTTTCACACGCGAAGACAATAACTGGGACTTTTTATTTGCTCTGCGTAAAGGAAGCCATACCATGCTCAAAGAATGCCTGGTTAGGCACTATGTATGGCGCTCTTTGCAAATAGTAACAAATTGGTTTTCATGGGCAATATGTATTGTACCTTAAAACTTGGTTAGGTCAATTTTACATAGGCATAGCAGTTGTTACGCGATTTATACAATGAGGACTTTTTACCTGATCAGCCAATTATGGTTTTGTTACTTACTTAGCTCTCTCAATACTTGGCGTCAAGTCTGAAACGATCTTCAAATGTAGCATTCCAATTTTCATTAAAAATTATTTGAGGTATTTGTTCAATTATAATTATATTATTTTTATATAATGGTGCGTTTATATCGTATGGCCATAGTATAAAGAACAAAGTAGGTTATCTTCATACAAATGCTCCGCGCGCGGCTTATATGTGTGCGCCATAGTATCTATGCGTCGACGCACGCACACTTTAACAAAATCTCGACCCGTTTCTCAGTGCGCCAGGCAGGGCTGACACTGTACGAGGTTCGCGCGCGCTTCACGGCTTTTCGGCACTGTTCAATGAAATAAAAAATGTCTGATAATCGTAGAAGAACGTATTGCTGTGTGTTTGGGTGTCTTAATAATTAATCGATTCCAGAACTGTCTCTGTTCAGATTAGGTACCTATTGAACAGGAAAGGTAAGCTAGTCACTTTTTCTAGCATAATATAATTTGTAGGTACTTGATGATGAGATACCTACTTACTTATTCTTACTCTTATCATTCTTCATAGTTCCTACTCAACCAGAAATGTAATTACCTACTATACTTAAATATTATAAAAAATGTGGTATTGTATTGTTTATTTCACAGTTTATCTGATTTGTTAAGAGCGTAGCCGAGTCGCATTTTTCCATATAAATGTATTCCCAAATTTACTTTCTGAATACTATGTATAGAGCTAAAGTTTATTTTAAGAAGTTAATAATCTTTTTATAAGCTTTTAATTTTTACTAAATTTATAAATTGATAAAATATTCAATCATAATATGCTTTTCATTTCATACATTTAGATCAAGTGTCTGCTTGTTCGAAAATATTAACTAAAAGTAAAAGTGACAACCCTGGGGATCAACGCAAGAGTAGGCTAATAACTCGGCGGGCGGCCTTAGATAACCTACTGTGTTCTTTATACTATGGTATGGCTGTAACTTATCTTTTTCTATAAAATAATATAACACACGCAAAGATGTAATGAAAATCAAAGTGTCTTATTTTAACATAGCCTTTATATTAACCGTAGTCTACACTAGCGCAGAATCGAAGCGTCAATCCGAAATGTCATTGCAAATTCAATCTTCATCACCGCAGAATAATGTGTATTTTCCTTCCTGAATAAAAGTCAGCGTGAAATACATAGAATTTAGATGAGTGGGAGACGTTACTTTGCAAAGATTTGGGTTTTTATACAGAATAGTAGCTAAATGAGTAGACGAATCATCTGATGGTATGAATGAAATCGATCCCGCCCATGGACCCGCAACACTAGAGGAGTCACAAGTGCGTTACCGGCCTTTTAAGAAAAAGTACAATGGACAAAAAGCCCTAAAAAAAATTAAGGAGAATAAAAAAAAGAAATAGTACGCTCTTCTTGAATTCAAATATTCAAATATCTTTATTGCTGAACACAGTACATTTAGATGCATTGCAAGATGTTAGATGAATGCGTAGTTCACCATGTTTCACCAATCAAGGCATGCAATTATTATTCGTAAATTATAATTGACGAGTTTCAGATTACTTACAGCAATTTTATTATTTATCAGTTCAGTCAAAATTTTACAAGATATTTCATAATAAGTTTCATTGAAGGGTCAAGTGTTTGGAAACACCACTGGAGCCAGTTTTTCTATGCGAGGCAGAATTCACAATTGTTTCTAGGCAAACATATATTATGATGGCGATTGGGGAAGTGCTGTTGCGTGGACGGTTAGTGATCGGTGGGTGAATTTGTTGAGACATTTCACATCATGATGCTGAGATACCCTTCGACCCTTCGCTAATGTAGATTGACACTTAGAATTGTTGATCGTTTGCTCAGAATAACGCTGTTACAAGATATTTAGCAGGAGTTTAGACCTTTATACAAAATGTGCTTATTTATAGACTGGTTCTAATATCACTAAAAGTTTGTTTATCATGTCTATTAAGTTTGATTAATATGCAAAAACATTGCAAGTAAGTTCCATCGATATTTATTTTAAATCGATTTTAATTTTAAAGTCAGGACCTTCAACTTAGCTAACCTTAAACGTTGGATTAGTCTGATGTAGATTGTTTGTAAACATTTGTAGCTTTTCGAACAAAATAATTTAAAAAGTAATTTAAGGCCTTTTGCTATATACAATAGAGTTTAATTTAGCTTGTCTGTCGAAGATGGTCTCTGTAACTCGAGTTTGGTTCTGCTTTTATACGAATTTCACTATAACCGCAGTTTGTGGAGTGCAGTTTATTTGTCTGCCTCGCCTGAGGGTATTTGGATTAGGCTGAATCACTAAGAAACCGATTGTTTCATTCTCTTTAAGTTTATTGAAATAAAAGGCATGAATTTGAAGAAAACCCCAGTGTTTTTGTGAGTTTTTTTAGTACTTTACTTTAACATACAAAATTG